GAAAATAATTTTTAGGCACAAACATATTCAGGTGGACTCCACTAAAAAAGAAAATAAAAAGAATGAAAAACATTAATATACAAATCTACGTGAATGTAATATGAATAGACTCTCCTTACGTCACATAATGAATATAAACCCCGTGCATATATATATATATAAAAGTTGGTACCGACCAGTCATCACCATTGAAATGACTAATATGCAGTGACGGAAGACATTTAGAAATTCGGTTCAGTGCCTCGACAGGCAAATATTAAAATTTGGAATTTTCTATCCCCCAACTTGGCGGACAAACATTCAGTGAAGGTACAACTGGTTCACAATGGAAATAGGAAAACAATTCTCCTTATGAAAATGATATTTACTCATAAATTTTTTTATATTACTTATCTGTTAAATAATTAGAATATAAAAGTGCATATTTAAATACATTTTTTGACTAGTAAAATGTAAAAATAATATACTATTTTTAATGTGTAAACTCATTGCTCAACGCATTATCATCTATTTCGTATATGCTTTTTTTTTTTAGACATCTATTTCATTTATGCTATAAGTACAACACAGAGTCTCTAATTCTTGGGGAGGGGCTGAACCTTTAGCCGTCACTGACCCCCGCACTCCGGATTAGTCTCATAGTCGGCTCAAAGAGTCGAAGCTTGTGAGGATACCAGAGGAAGCCAACTCGCCTCAAAGAGATAATTAGGGTTGAGTAACTCCAAAAAAAACATTGTTCTATATTTATTAATTATGAGCTTTCTATAAGTAAGATATGGCACATGGTCATTCTTGATCATGGAGCTAAATGTTCCACCAAAATTGGACATTAGCACATTTTTTCTTTCATTCTCTAAGTACGGGTGGTGGTGATGGATGATGGTCGCATCTATCATAGCTAGGGTAAAATGTGCACTACCTAGCTATACCTAACACTCATTCTGGTCCTTATCGTGATCAAAGTTTAAATGGCAGCTAAAAGCATACGGAGACTGAATGTGAAGGAGTTAATGTATTTTGATGAATTTTATGAATTTAATTTTAAATGATTTCAATTTTATAAATTAATTTTACTTAAAAGTAAATTTAAAGTGAAGTAATTTTTTTAATATTTTTATTTTAGAAAATATAATTATAATAAAACTTCCTGTAAAATTTCCAACTAATTTAAAAGTTGCATTTTATCAGTGATAAACATGCTTTTAGGATAAAAAACATGTTTAGTTAAAAAAAATTAAATATAATATTTTTAAACAAAGATTACGTTGCCGTCTCTTAAACTTTAAACATGATCTAAATATATAAATTATTTCTGTAATCCACGAATTTCATTTCATTTTCTAATGTATGTATGACAAAGTTGATGTGTTACAAGCATTATTTTTTAAATAGTGCTGCTTTAGATGTGTACTTTTATGGGAAAATTATTTGTCGTTTAAAAAAAATATGATTTTATGTCATTTTAAATTCTAATCGTTGATTTCCGTCAATCAATGGTTATAATTTATTATGAATTACTAATTAATCAATAAGTTTTATCCAATAAATTATAATTCTTGATTGACGGAAATCAACGGTTAGGATCTAAGATGACACAAAATTATCTCATTTAAAATGATAAATATTTTTTCCTTCTTTCATATATTTTATATTTTTCTAAAAATATTTAATGTGTTAACAATTTTTGTTAAAAACATTTAAGTATTTTTAAAATAAAAAATGTGATTGTTTAAAAGCTAAATTCTTGGGTTTCTACAAAAAAGTTTTGATGATATAAATAAGGAAAAAATATTTTTCATTTTAAATGAGACAATTTTGTGTTATTTTAGATGAAACAACGTTGTTCTAGTGTATATTTGGTGATTTTTTACATTTTCTTTCCTTTGTGAAATTAGGAAGAGGAAGAAAATGGAGAAGAGAGGAGATAAAAAATATCAATTATGTACCAAAATGACGTCGTTTTATCTAAAATGGCACAAATTTATGTTATTTAAAATGATAAATATTTTTCCCTAAAAATAAACTATTTAAACATAAAAAAAAGCTTTTCAAAATATTATATTCAAACATAATAATATCTTACTATAGAAGAAAAAGTCCATGCAAACCTTTGACATCGTTATAAATAAGGGTAATAGTTTTTTCTTACAATATGAGATAATTATTATCTCCACAGACTCATTTATGCAGGTGATATTCACTTTTAAGGGAAGTAAAAAAACAGAGTGAGACTCATCTTAAATTTGTGTGTGTAAGAGATAAATTCTTTCTTATGTAACATAAATATAATAAATTCCTATAAATAAACTATTTAAACATTAAAACAAAAACTTTTCAAAATATTATATTCAAACATAAGGAAATTTGACTATATAAGTAAAAGTCCTACTTACTAAAAAATAAAAGAAGTAAAAGTCCATGCAAACCTTTTAAATCATTATGAATGGTAGCGTTTTGTAACTTGTAGGTTTTTTTCTTATTAATTTATGAAGTGCTATTGTTTTATTATTGTCAAAATTTTTGAAAAAATAAAGTGAAATGTTTGATTTGCAAAGAATTTCTTGCCAGCGCGCAACAAATTTTTATTTTCTTTATATTTCAATCGGTTTATAATTTTGTGGTTTGTCCGATTTAAAGCGGATCACTATATTAAAGTTTTAAATATCTTTCAAAAATAATATTGAAAAGAATCGAATATATATTATCATTTCTACCTACTCAATTCTTTAATACTAACTGAACTATCATTATTTGATCACAACAAATTTCTTTTACATTAATATCTTACATTGACTTCCTTACCGTTCTCTTTTCTTTATTTGGAATTCAGTATTTTTTTTTATATCCGTGTTGAAATCTTCCTATTATTTATAACAAGGAAAGAAAAAGAGAGTTGTCCTAATAAAGAAATGATCAAAGTACCCACGAAAGAATAAAGATTGTAATGTGTATTATATTACCAGAGATAAAATTATTTTTTATATATATATAAAAATATATAGAGTTTATGTGAGGAGATTAGGAGAAGAGAAAAAAATATATAAATTTCATATACTTTTATGAGGTAGGATATTCATATTATTAATTTTTTCTACTATCACTTCACTACCACTTTAATTATAGAAAAAGTTGAATAAACAGAAAAAAAAGAAAAATAACTTTTAAATTTAATGATAATTAAAGTGATAGTAAAAAAAATTGATAATAACAATATCCTATCTTTACTCTTATATATATATATGGATGAGATAAAATAATTTTCAATAACAGAGAAAATATTAAACCAAAAAATAAAATAGAAATATGATCAATCGTTATTCCCTCTTCACATATTTTGTTTCCATTTTAATTTAAAAGAAAGGAAATATTAAAATAAACTAAAATATAAACGCACAAGGAGAAACCGGGTTAGTGCCTCACTGGGTGTTAGGGGTGCAACCGTCCAATGAATACGACAGGCGCGATTAAACAGAAAATGCTACTGTTCTGTGGGGGATATAGTCAAACATACTTAGCGGTGTAAATTGATCAAATCAGGCTAGATTTTGGTCAAATATAGAGAGTTACAAGTGAATTAATTGCAAATGCATGAGAATTAATTACAATTATTGGAAAAAAAAAAAAAGATTACATGTGATAATAACCTTGAGTTGTTTTACCCCAAAAGTTAATACAAAAAATGATAGTACACAAAATCTTATAAATTCTACATTAATTATTCATATAACGAAACTCTGAATCTCGTATCTTATAAATAGATCATAATAACATGCTTCAATAACTCATTCTCTCTTTAGTTTGTGAACAAATCTTCATGTGACTGGAATAGGTACATCCATACTAAAAAAAAAAAATTTAAAAATATGGTTTTTATTTTATTTTTATAAAGATAGTATAAATATATAATTTTTAATATTTGATAAAAAAAAATGTATAAGAGTAGTCTACACATTTAGTATTAGGGAAAATGTGTATCATTTTTTTTTTTTGATAACAATGTATATCATTTTAAATGATGTAAAATTGTGTCATTTTAGGTGATAGAAAGAGATAGATAAAAGAGGAGAGAAAATGAACAAAAAAAAATATAAAGTTGTGTCATTGTATGTTGTCCACCCTTCCTTCAAGCCCAGTGGGCTCTTGTATGAGGAGGCATGTTGAGAAATATAGCCCCACATTGGTTGTATGAGCAACTAATGTGAGGTTTATAAGGCCTTGGACACTCTCACCCTTTGGAGCTAGCTTTTGGGGTGGTGTATTCCAAAGTTCTTTGCATGTATCAGAGCCTCGCCGCCCCCACTTTCTCTTGTGGCGTTTCTTAGCACAGGTAGGTTGGGCCTGTTGCATTGTCCACTCTTCAAGCTCAATGGGCTCTCGTGTGAGGGAGCGTGTTGAGATATATAGTCTCACATTGGTTGTATGTCCAACTAATGTGGACACTCTCACCCTTTGAGCTAGCTTTTGTAGGGTGTATCCTAAGGCAGCTTCTTAGCACAGATAGGTTGGGCTTGTTGCATCGTCTAGGCTGGCGTATCCCAATGAGCTCTCGTGTGAGGGGGTGTGTTGAGATATATAATCCCACGTTGATTGTATGTACAACTAATCTGGAGTTTATGAGACCTTGAATACTCTCACCTGTGTGATTAAAAACGAGAAACAATCTTCCCTTACTATTAGTACCGAAAATATTTTCCTAGTTTGCATTGTAGCATTGTGGTGTGGAGCCCATAGATGGACCTCTGCTTTGCTGGCTGGCTCCAAGCCTTCGTTGATTGTATATACAACTAATCTGGAGTTTACGAGAACTTGGATACTCTCACATGTGTGATTAAAAACGAGAAACAATCTTCCCTTACTATTAGTACCGAAAATATTTTCCTAGTTTGCATTGTAGCATTGTGGTGTGGAGCCCATAGATGGACCTCTGCTTTGCTGGCTGGCTCCAAGCCTTCGTTGTTTATAGCCATTTTATAAGGCACTGTCTGTTCTGTTCTGTTCTGTTGAGTCGAGGAGGAAAAAAGAAAGAAAAGGGTTTCTTTCTTGGTCCAATCCTTTTCACACTGTGGAGGATGTCTTCATTTTTCAATTCTTTCTTTCATTCACCCCTTCTTCTTTAACCATTTCATCATCTGCATACCACTTCACTTCGCTTTCTACAAATAAACCATAGCAACAATACAATCTAAGTAAAAAGAAAAAAAAGTATCCACTCCTCTGTACTTTCTTCCTGTTGATTTGATGGATCCACGGATCTAATGATTTCACACTATTCTCTTCACTTCTCTCTTCTTTCCCGATCATTATATTCTTCATCCGGGCCATCATCCATTATCTTCCAGTCAATAGTCAATAGTCAATACTCAAATTGTCGTGTGAGATATCTTACCCGAATTTTTATCTTCTCTTGTTTTGTTATTTATGTTACAATATAATTACACTTGATGAAAAATCTAACTTGTTGTCATTATTAGATTTTATGGAGATCAGTGTAACTTGGGGTTTTACTTTTCAATGTAAATGTGAACAAGGGAATATGAGAGATAAAGTGGGTTTTGACTTATGAAAAATAGAAAATGAACCCCCTTTGTTGAATTTTTCATCTTTAGCGGCTGTATATGGTTGGTCATATTTTTTGTTGCCATAGAAAACAAGTCAAAATGTTGGGTTTTGTTTAACTGTTGTAAAGCTACTTTCTGTTTGTGGGTGCGATTCATTCCTTGGAAAACTGTGATAATCAGCTTGTTTTGGACGTTTCTAGTTCAAACAAACTTGAGGCTATATCTGGAGTTGAGCCATAATTGATTTTATCTGTATATGTTTGTTCATGTTGTTGTAGTTTGTAGTGGATCATCATCATTGCGGTGACTGGTGAGGACTGCAGCAGGACTCTATCTATACAGTGAATGAAAATTCTGGGGGGTGAACTCGTTTTTGGGGTAGTTGATAGATGTGGAAATCTTTGACGGTTGTTTGGTGAGATGAGGGATGTTATCGGAGTTGATGAACACTTTTAGGTCCTGCTTTTGGCCGGGTTCGGGTGGATATGCAGGCACAGGTTCAGATGCTGTAGGTAGACAGGATGGACTATTATGGTACAAAGACTTGGGGCAGCACCTGAATGGTGAATTTTCGATGGCTGTAGTTCAAGCCAATAACTTGCTTGAGGATCAGAGCCAGATTGAATCAGGGAGTTTGAGCTCCAATGAGTCTGGCCCTTTTGGTACCTTTGTTGGTATCTATGATGGGCATGGAGGGCCTGAGACATCGCGGTTTATCAATGATCACTTATTTCACCATCTCAAGAGTAAGTTTACAACAAGATGAGTGAATTCTTCGAGCTTTTCTGTATTGGCATAGGTTTTACTTGTTGCTTTGTTGTATTTATTTCCCTCTTCCTTCCAGTTCCAAGCCTCTTATAGTTAATCTTGCTTTTCAACTTGACATAAATCATTCATGGAATTATCTAAGATAGACCCTCCTGTTAAACTGGCATATGCCAATAAGAGACTCATTCTTTCGTTCCTTCCTAATATTTTTATTTTTTGCCTGTCATTCTATCTGCTATGTTATGAATTAAGGCTACAAATTTGTCAGATGTACACTGAATTGAGACTGTAAAAAGTATGGTTTTTCAATAGCCATTTTGTTGCATGTCTGTCGTTGATGGATTTATCTGTGTTTTGAACCGTTGCTCTCCACATGATTATCGAATATCGACAACATTTTCTTTCTCTATTTTACATTTCAGGATTTACTTCAGAGCAACAATCAATGTCGATGGATGTAATTCGCAAGGCATTCCAAGCAACAGAAGAGGGGTTTACGTCATTGGTTGCTAGACAGTGGCTAATGAAACCACAAATTGCTGCTGTTGGATCATGCTGTCTTGTTTGTGTTATTTGTAATGGAACCCTTTTTGTAGCGAATCTTGGTGATTCCAGGGCTGTTCTGGGAAGAGTAGTCAAGGCAACTGGCGAGGTTTTAGCCATGCAATTATCAACAGAGCACAATGCATCAATAGAGTCTATAAGACAGGAGCTGCATTCTTTGCACCCTGATGATTCAAATATTGTTGTTTTAAAGCATAATGTATGGCGTGTGAAGGGCCTTATTCAAGTAAGTCAATTGTAGCTCATCATATTACTTTTCTTGCTGCTAGAGCCAGTTATTTATTTATTCTTGCTGCTACATGTTGATGTAGTACTCAAAGCATTGACCTCTTAATATCATTCTATGCTTGTAACATTCTAGTGTTGGAAGCAAAATTTTCAGTTTTCAGGATGTGAAGAATGACTTCAGAAATAGAAGCTATGCTGTGCAGTAGTAAAAGAGACTGGGTGGGGGTTGGGGGGTTGGAGTAATCATTGTTTCAAGTATATTTGTGGAAAGTGCTTATTTTTCTCAACCTCCCCGGGGTTATTGATTAGCATTAATACTAAAATGAACAATATACATTATGAATTTATATACCCAGAAAACAGTTGCAAGGATTAGGTAATTAAGTTGTCTTAGTTCCACAACAGAATTCCTCCTTAATTTGGTTTGTTTATACTAGATGCCAGGCTAAATGGGTTAATTTTTGTCACAAATATAATATTCTTAAAGCTATAACAGCAGAAAATTCCCTTGGATTTGTGTACTTTTCTTCTAGTAACTTCTTTATTATAATATGATGAGAATTTGATTTAATGATGTTAAATGCACATAGTGGGATTTTGTCTATAATATTCGGTGAAAGTTAATGTTTTTAGTGCTCTTGTATCTTTCTTCCCTTTCATGAAACTTGTACCTTCAGCTTGTCATATATAATTCTTATCTTGGTACTTTCTGACAATTCTCCTTGGGCTTTGTCATCACTGACTTCATCAGATTTAGATGACTCAACTTATTTAAATTAATGCTTATTATTGCCATACCAAAAAAAACTTGACTTGAAACATTTTTCCCTCTCTCTCCTGTTCTCTCTCTCTCTTAATTGAATTACATCATAACTTTTAAAATCTTTTACCGTGCAGGTTTCAAGATCTATTGGTGATGTATATTTGAAAAAGGCCGAGTTCAATAGGGAACCACTATATGTTAAGTTTCGACTTCGTGAGCCAATGAAGAGGCCAATACTGAGCTCAGAGCCATCGATATCGGTGCATCAGTTGCAGCCACATGATCAATTTATTATATTCGCTTCTGATGGGCTCTGGGAGCACCTTAGCAATCAAGAAGCAGTTGATATAGTTCAAAATAGTCCCCGAAGTGTAAGTTACATATTTGAATTCAACTATACTACATATGTTATAACACTACCAATAAGATTAAATGGATATATTTTTGGCTCTTTTAGACTGAAAACTTAAAGATTATGGATAATTTTTGGTTCCTGTTAGTCCTGAGTACTTTATATTTTATTGAAGTTGCCATACTGTTTGTTTCTCGGATCTCTTAATTATTTGTGTCATCATGATTTATTGCAAGTATCTGTCATGCTTGAATGGTGCTTATATACAGAATTTGTTGGGGGAATTGTAGTATGCACCACTAATATTGCATTGCAGCCCATGATCCATAGAGATGAGATTGAATGTTGTTATGTATAATGTCCATTGAGAAGAAGGAACATGCTTCTTCACCACAAGAAGTTGCCAGTCTTTAAGACATGAAATTGAAAGTTAGTGGCCTTCTATTTGTCCATAATCTTTATGGTTGCGCTACATTGTTTTAGTATGTTAATTTGTGTGAACAGATGCAGTTAAGCAATTTAAGTGGTTATTTTCAGCAGCAGGAAAATGGAATTTATCAAAAGTAGTCAATTCATGCCTACAGCCTAATTAAGTGGTAATAGAAATTCATGGAGAATATAAAGCCTTACCTTGACTTGCTTTTCTCGTGCAAAACAAATAATATGTTCTTTACTTGGAGATCCCTCTGCTTATACCAAATGTGATTGTGTTAATTGGCCTCTGAAGCTATAGCAAATCTGTTGGATAGTATTGGATAGATGAAGGGTGATTGAGTAAGATACTGGCATTGCATACTATATATGCTTAAATGACTTTTTTGCATGACATAAAATATTTTCCTGTGTATGGTTTGGAAACTATTGAGATATATAGTCTCACATTGGTTGTATGTGCAACTAATGTGGAGTTTATAAGGCATTGGGCACTCCCACCCTTTTAGCTAGCTTTTGGGGTGGTGTATCCCAAGGTTCTTTACATGGTATTAGAGCCTCGCCCCTCCCCACTTTCTCTTGTGGCATTTCTTAGCACAGGTAGGTTGAGCCTGTTGTCCACTCTTCAAGCCCAATGGGTTCTTGTGTGAGGGGGCGTGTTGAGATATATAGTCTCACATTGGTTGTATGTGCAACTAATGTGGAGTTTATAAGGCATTGGACACTCCCACCCTTTGAGCTAGCTTTTGGGGTGGTGTATCCCAAGGTTCTTTACAGAAACAATTTAATATCATTTCTTTCTGACTAGATATTATGAGTTGCTGATGAATTTCGGGCAGAAGCTTAGTACAAAATGGATTTATGCTTAATCTGTTATCCTTCTTTCAGGGAAGTGCAAGGAGGCTGGTGAAAACTGCACTTCAAGAAGCAGCAAAGAAGAGAGAAATGAGATATTCAGATTTAAAGAAAATTGACCGTGGAGTTCGTCGACATTTCCATGATGATATTACTGTGATTGTTGTGTATCTTGACTCAAATCTCATAAGTAGGTCAAGCACTATTAAATTCCCTAGTATTTCTGTTAGAGGGGGCGGTATTAACCTGCGTACTAACACGCTGGCACCTTGTACGACACCAACAGATATTGGTGGTACCTGATCTAAGTTGTATCTCATCTTTCTTTTTTTTCTTTGTTGTATTATTTGCTTGTGTGAATACCAGTTATCTTCAAATAGCAATGAGAGGAGCAGCCCTTCAATTCTTTGAATGTGAACTGTAACTTACTAGATATACTAATACTCGTTTAGGTTCACTTGAAAAAGGGTATTCTGATATATTATAGAATTGTGTAAATACTTTGTACAAAGGTTCTCTATTTATAGAGAATACAAGACCTAGAATACTTGACCTAATGGGCTAAGCCCAATACAACAAATAATAAATAAATAAATAATATTAATATTTACAACACTCCCCCTCAAGCTGAGGAATAGATATTTATCATTTCCAGCTTGCTAGTAAGCTCTTGAAATCTATCTGAAGGAAGTCCCTTTGTCAATACATTAGCTAATTGACGCCCGGTGGGAATGTAGGGTGTGGTAATCAACCCGCTATCAAGTTTCTCTTTGATGAAATGGCGGTCGACCTCAATATGTTTAGTCCGATCATGTTGAACCGGATTATGAGCTATACAAATAGCTGACTTATTATCACATAGCAGCTTCATTGGTCCCTCACATTTTATTTTGAGATCATTAAGTATAATTTTCAGCCATAGTAACTCACAAATGCCTTGAGCCATGGCTCGAAATTCAGCCTCTGCACTTGATCTGGCAACCACATCTTGTTTCTTACTTCTCCATGTCACCAAGTTACCACAAAGAAACATACAATAACTAGTGGTAGAACGACGGTCCGTCACAGATCCAGCATAATCAGCATCAGTGTAGACTTCTAAAGAGAGATTGCCATCTCGCCGGAATAACAGTCCTTTACCAGGAGTAGCTTTAAGATACTGAAGAATTCTCTCCACTACCTGCATGTGTTTCTCCTTTGGATCATGCATAAACTGACTGACAACATTAACAGCATAAGCTAAGTCTGGTCTAGTATGGGCCAGATATATCAATTTCCCAACTAGCCGTTGATATTGTCCTTTATCAACTGGAGGACTCTCCTCTTCAAAGCCTATCTTGTGATTCTGCTCAATAGGAGTATTAGAGGGTTTACACCCGAGCTTTCCTGCTTCTTTGAGAAGATCCAAAACATATTTCCTCTAACTGATAAAAATTCTTTTGCTTGAATGAGCTACTTCTATCCCTAGGAAATATCTCAGTTTCCCAAGGTCTTTGACTTCGAACTCAGAGGCAAGCCGTGTCTGCAGAATCTGTCTCTCCACAAAATCATCACCTGTGATAATAATATCATCAACATATACAAGGAGCACAGTAAGCTTCCCATTTTGGGAGTGCTTGAAGAAAAGAGTGTGATCTCCTTGACTCTGTCTGTATCCTAAGGTCATCATAACCTTAGTAAACCTTCCAAACCAAGCACGAGGTGACTGCTTCAATCCATACAAGGCCTTTTTTAATCTACAAACTTTATTTTCTCCCTTCACAGAATCAAGACCAGGCGAGATTTTCATGTAGACTTCTTCTTCTAACTCACCAGTCAGGAAAGCATTTTTCACATCAAATTGATTTATATCCCAATTGTAATGGGCAGCAAGGGATAACAAGACTCTCACCATATTCATCTTTGCAACTGGAGCAAAGGTTTCTTCATAATCAATGCCATAGGTTTGAATGTAACCTTTGGCGACTAATCGAGCCTTGTATCTCTCAAGAGTGCCATCAGAATTATATTTCAGGGCATAAACTCATTTGCTCCCTACTGCTTTCTTTCCGTTGGGTCTATCAATAACCTCTCATGTTTTATTTTTCTCCAACGTATTCATTTCATCTTGCATGGCTTGAGCCCAATTCCCATCTTTCAAGGTTTCATGTACTGATTTTGGAATTGCAATAGAATCTAGTGCTGAAACAAAGCTTTTGTGCTGCACAGAAAGATTAGCAGACCAAACAAAGTGGGAGATAGGGTATTGAGTACAAGAGAGACAAGAGGAACAAGTTTTCTTGTGGCAAGATCTTTTTCCTTTTCTAAGAGCAATGAGCAAATCATCAGAATCAACATTAATGGGTAACTCATCAGAAGTATTAACATCATGATCAGAAATATGAGATTCAAGAGAAACAGGAGACTCAGAAGAAACATGAGATTCAGGACTTACCAGTGGTTCAGACGATTGAGGTTGCTGGTGAGACAGTATGGGTTGTTTCCTCCTCTGATATACCAATTTAGGTGTCAAAATTTTCCGTATCTCAGGTGTATTTGAAGGTTCTGACACACCAGGAGCAGATACACTAGGTAGAGAGAAGACTGATCCAGGCTCAAAGAAGGAAGGGGACGAGTCTTCTGAAGAACTGTTCTCCCCCTGACGATGAGGACCCAAGAAATAAGATTCAGATTCTTGAAAGGTGACATCCATAGAAACAAAAAAATTTTGACTTGGTGGATGATAACACTTGTACCCTTTTTTATAAGGGGTATAACCAAGGAAGACACACTTAAGAGCCCTAGGATCCAACTTACTCCGATGTTGTTTATGAACATGGACAAAGTCAACACATCCAAACACTCTTGGTGGAAGGCTCTGCAATATGGGAACAGAAGGAAAGAAGGAAGTCATGGAATGAATAGGACTGATTTTGTTAAGGACCCGTGAAGGTAAACGATTGATCAAAAAAGTTGCAGCTAACACTGCTTCTCCCCAATAAGAACTAGGAACAGATGTCTGGAAAAGTAGTGCTCTAGCAACTTCAAGAAGGTGATGATTTTTCCTTTCAGCAACCCTTTTTGTTGAGGGGTATCAACACATGTGAGCTCATGAATCATACCTCTGTCTGAAATGAATTGTGATAGGCGTTGATTGACGTACTCAGTACCATTATCAGATCTGAGTCTTTTAATACCTTTACCAAACTGAGTCTCAACCATGTGATGAAACCGAATAAATATCTCTGGTACTTCAGACTTGTCTTTCATCAAGTATATTCATGTTACCCGAGTACAATCGTCAATAAAAGAAACAAACCACCTTGCACCTGAAACACTCTGCACTTTAGAAGGGCCCCAAACATCAGAATGGATAAGAGAAAAAGGTTCCTTGCTTTTAATAGTGCTAGAAGGAAATGACACTCGATGGTGTTTTGCAAATTCACAAACATCACAATGAAATGTCTCAACCGACTTATTGAGAAACAGAGAGAGGAACATAGACTTCAAAAGACTAAATGGTGGATGCCCCAAACGCTTGTGATGGAGCCAAATCATAGACTCTGCAGTAGAAGGATGGCGTGTCATTAATAACTAATTTTTGCTAGCATGGTCTGGAAGGAGATGATACAACCCATCATGTTCACTAGCAACTCCAATTGTTTCTACGTGGTAAGATCCTGAATAACACAATGAGAAGGCAAAAATGTGATAGAACAATTCAAATCAGTTGTAAGTTTTTGAATGGAGATAAGATTAGTAGAAAGCTGAGGAACATAAAGAACATTTTTAAGAAACAAGGAAGGTTGAATTTGAATGTTACCAGAACCAATAACTGATTTATGGGATCCATCAGCTACAGATATAGTATGACTACCAACAGTAGGATGATAAGAACAAAACAACTCAGTAGTCAGTACGACAAGCCATATGATCAGTTGCACCAGAATCCAAAATCCATGAGGTTTTAAAATCAGTGCAAGAAGCAAGAAGAGATATAGAACGTGTGCTCTTACCAGATAAGATCAAAGAACTATCATGCTCGGCCATTCTTCAATAAAAAAGTTAACAACCAGCGATAAAATCAACCAAACAGAATATCAAAATGACCTCCATCAGAAAAATAATCACAGATCCAGACAGAAGACAAGGAGACGAGAAGAACGGTGGTGGTCCGGTCCAAAAACACGGCCGTACGCGCCTCCACGCGCCGGAGAAAAAAGCTGCGCGTGGGCTTCACTTGCCGGGAAAGGGGTGGCGCGTGAGAGCGCGTGGAGGGGCTTCTTCGGCTGAGATTTTTCTGGCGTGGTCGTCCGGTGAGCGCGCACCTGTCTGTGGGTGGTCGCGGTTGAAAAGTCGCCGGAAAGTGGTCCAAACGGTGAAGACAGATCTGATTGGAGGCGGTCAGAGGTGTTTGGGTCGTTTGTGGCGGAGGAACAATGCGTAGAATGATAGAACGGAGAAAAATAAGGTCAACAATGGTCCCCTTGGTCCAAAAGGTCTCCGGAAAAATTTTCCGGTGGCGGCGGATGGCGGCAAGAGGTAAAGAAATTAGGGTTTTGTTAAAAAAAAGACAATATGCGCGGAAGCAAAGCCTCAGATCGAGAGCTCTGATACCAATTTGAAAAAGGGTATTCTGATATATTATAGAATTGTGTAAATACTTTGTACAAATGTTCTCTTTTTATAGAGAATACAAGACCTAGAATACTTGACCTAATGGGCTAAGCCCAATACAACAAATAATAAATAAATAAATAATATTAATATTTACAATAGGTTCTTTCCCTCAAACCAAAAGAGCTTCTAATGACCATTATAAGAGCTGCCTCGGCATTATTTTACCATTCTCACCATTTCCTCCTTTATCTTGGTAACTTTTGTCTTACAGTTTGTGATTTGGGTGGTAAGCCATCATCTGTGTTTCTTTGTATGTAACTGTTGCTGTCATGCTGAGGAAGTTCTTTTGACGTAGATAATGCATTGAGGTGCTGGAGAGAGGAAAATCACCATGTAAATGTATTATGTGGATAATATATGATGCAATGTTTAAGGTTTATTCATTGTCAGATTGAACATAACCAATTCAACAATCTTACATTCCACAACGAAAACCATATGGTTTAGTTTGGTCAAATTTATATAAATGTTGTTGCTCAAACTATAATTCTACTGTAAAAGCCTAGTAGTAGTTATGTTAACTTTTCTTTGTGTGAAAATGGCGTCTGTCTTCCGTACCTTCTAATTATTTCTTCCAAAGGGAAACAGAAAATATGCTTCTTAATACATGCCCTCTCCCTCAACTGAAATAAGCATAAGTTGGGCCTGCTACAAGGGAGATAAAATAAGGGTTTTATTAATCTCCTTTTACATAAGATAAATATCTTATGTTGTAGAGAAAAAATGGATGGGTCCCACCATTGTAAGAAAAAAAAAGGTGGGATGCGA